ATCCAGCGGCAGACCCAACTTCACCTGGGCACCCAGGTGATGATGAGTGCTTCAAGTGCCTGACAAAGCGCGGAACGATCCTTCCAAACAAGAAGCCCGGGCCCGACTTGAAGGGTCAAGGTTCTAATTAAGCAGGAAGGTAGGGTTCAGGGTTTAGGGTTTAGGGTTTAGCCCTCTCACCCTAAACCTTGAGACGGGAGGCATGTTCAGTGTAGGGCCGATGATCGGAACACAAGCAAGCTGCCAAGCTCCTTGACCCTGTTTTCAGTAGCTAGGGCTCCAGGAAGCATGTGGACTTAACGATCACGGCATTGTTTTTGTGCGTGATACAGCGCAGCTACAGTCGGTACAAGCAGCTGTTAGAGATCCTTGTATCTTTAGGGCTGCACTTGTACGTGTCGCCACGCCCTCAGCCGCGAAAGCCCTAGGCAGGGTGTCTTGAGTCGACCTTATAAGTCGCCGAACACTCGCCATTTCTATCAGCTGGACTTGGGATGGGCCGTACTGGTCTAGCCTGGGTGGCATGACTGTCGGCTTACGCATCGCTGATGCATGTTGTTGTCCCATCGGTATTCTGACATGATGAGAAGTTAAGGCAGCTTGCGAGAACTTCGCGAAGATATCATCTCTAGTGTAAGAGCAGTATAGCCCGTATAAGTCTCACAAGTAAACCCCGTGTTGCTTTTGGAAGCCGGATGAGTAAGAACCCAAACCCCAAACTAAACCCTACAACCCTAAACTGAACCCTAAACCCTGAGCTCTGACCTGGACCCTAAACCCCAAAATGCCACAACCCCAGAGCCCCACAAACCCAAACCCTTGAACCCGGAAGGGTTACGGGGGCAAACTGCCATAGCCTCGCAAGGTTTGAGATGAGCTTCGAGTTCTCCCCTCAAAGCAGCCGAACAAAGGAGCGACTTCAGGCTTAGGGTTTTGTGCTGGGCCGCAGGGTCCCCGTTCGGATTTTCGCAGCCCGACACTCAAAAACTCGTGGTTTTAGGTTTCCTTTGGGGTTCAGTAGGGAACCTCAGACTCGCAGAATCGTGTAGGGTTTAGGGTTTAAGGGTTTAGGGTTTAAGGGTTTAAGGGTTAAGGTTTAAGGGTTTAGGGTCAAGGGTTTCGGGGTTAGGGTCTGCTTAGGGGGGGGAGAGTGGGAGAGTGGATCCATCATCCAAGGGTCCAATCCTTTATTACAGTAGTTCCTATATTCCCACTCTCCCTGAAGCACCAGTAGGGTTAGGCTTCGGGGTTTCGGGTTTCCAGGCTTTGAGACTTTGGGATTGCTCGTCGGGTTCCAGGGTTCGGGGGTTTAGATGTTAAGCCTAAGTTGTTGGTTAGGGTTTAGGGTTTAGGGTTTAGGGTTCAGGGTTCAGGGTTCAGGGTTTAGGGTTTAGGGCCGGGCATAGGCCATAATAAAATGGGGAAACCCAGGGACTGCCACGCCTTTTAGTTCACAGGGCATCTTACATGACGGAGGGATCCTTGATACATGGTCAGGTTGTTTGCTTAGCCAAGGGGCTTTGGAGTCTAGAGCGATACAGAAGATGTAGCTTAGTTGAGATGTGGATTGCGCGGCCTACGCCGTGCGGGGTGTGGGTTGTGGCTTTAGGTTTATGGGGTTTAGGGCTTATGGCTTGCGGGGTCAGAATGTATGGGTTTAATTAGGGCTGAATGTAGACTACTGATTCATAAAGGCTCACAAAGATTATCATGACCCCGTTCCCTTGCGAAGGCTTCAAGCTAAGATCCTTTTATAAAATGTGATACAGGCGTTGAATAATGTGGATTATGCATCCGGGATCTACATTAACGTAGACCCCTGATTATCCAACCCCCTTGCAAGGCCCTACTGCTAGGATCCTTGTCGTAATCCTTACATCAAGGGAAAGGGTGTTGTTAATCTGGCGTCTACGTTAGTTTTTTCGGATCATCTGGGGGTGCTTGGATGACAGTACCCTTTATATAGTTCAACCCCTCAAGAGCCATTTACTTCAGACCTATAGCCTATAACCCATCAGACTCCTAACATTACAACACTTCTTCTCCCAACAGAATCGTTCTGAAATCTCGGCACCAGGGTTCCAAGTTACTCCCTGAGAAACTTACAGTCCCCGCCGACAGAGGAATAAAGATCTGAGATATATGTTAGGCCCCAGGAGTGCGGGAGGCCACCATCCCGAAAATGACAACCTTCGAATTCCCTTCATGGAAGCACTACGCCCCTCGGGCAACCTTGCACCCCCAAAGCTAGCTACAGATTTTGTACGGGCGCACACTATGTGTGCGAAATATGTATATATATATACTTAGCTAAATGAATAATAAACAAACAAAATACATAGCCAGAAACGGCTAAACTTATACGTATATCTACAGAAACGCATACATACATAATTACAGACATACAGACATACATACGGACAGACACACAAACGGACAGACAGACAGACATACATACTACATGCACGCGCGCGTATGTATGTATGTATGTATGTATGTATGTATGTATGTATGTATGTATGTATGTAAGTATGTGAATGTAAGAATGAATCAATGTATGTATGTATGTATGTATGTATGTATGTATGTCTGCATGCAGGCAGGCAGGCAGGCAGGCAGGCAGGCAGGCAGGCAGGCAGGCAGGCAGGCAAGCATGCATGGATGTACGTATGTATGTATGTATGAATGAATGTGTGCATGTGTGTGTGTGTATATATATATATATATATATCCCGACTGGTGCATGTGCATGCGCACATCAACCTATACATGCTTGCTTGTACGTATATATATATATATATACCGATATGTACACATGTGCGTAGATGCTATGTACTTAAAGGATCATTGGACTTAGTAAGTAGGGTTATAACTCAGGTAACTATAGTTATAACCTCAATTCGGGGACTTATAACCGTTATAACCTTACTTACTAAGTCCCATGATCCTCCAAGTAGCTTTGAGCCATCGCCTCAAGTGTGTAGATGCTAAACCCTAAACCCTAAACCCTAAGCCCTAAACCCTGAACCCTAAACCCTAAACCTCAAGAGGAGTCGTTCTGGTCTTTCGTCTTGCTGGGGCCAAAAGTCGAAGAGCACTTCTTGGTGGCAGGCGGGCCTCACCTAGACCAATCGTGTTGCAAGTTTAGGGTTTAGGGTTTAGGGTTTAGGGGTTTAGGTAATGTTGCTATTTTGGAGTTTGGTGGTTTGGGGTTTGGGTTCAAGATGTAGGGTTTTCGCGCGCAGCTGCATTTTCCTTTGTGTTGATGGTGGCATAGCAATCGAGACCGCCGTGTCTGGTGTTCTTCGGATGCAGCTGAGATTTGAGCAATATCCCCAAACCCGAAACCCTAAACCCTATATCCCTAAACCCGAAACCCTTCAGGGAAGGCTTTGGGCTTCGAGGCTTTGCAGGCGGCTTGTGACTTTGAGGGCGCCGGATCATGTTTCAGAACCCCTTAAAGGAATTCGAAAGCTTTAAGCTAAAGACCCAGGAACATTTTGAGGAGTCGTTAATCTCTACAGGCCCAACCGCCCAATCCCCAAAGCCATCCAAACCCTAAACCCTGTCAGCCCTAACTCCCTAAACCCAAGCCCTATAAAAGCCTAACTCCACCCGAAACCCCCTCCCCCTTCAATCAGGCATTGTCCAGGAGCCTCGCATCGGCATGGACAAGTCCGGGGGCCCCAGAAAGCCCCCGAAAAAGGTTTAGGGAAGTTTAGGGTTTAGGGGTTTCGGGCTCAGGGGTTTAGGGGTTTAGGGAGGCCTTAATACTTCGAACCGGGACTCTCTAAAGGGCTGAAGAGTTTGATATGGGTGGATCTAGGGGCCTTAAGGATTAGAATCGTATTCTATAGGTCTCCCTACGATCAACATATTTCAGTATGTACTTATCTATCTATAGGTATATATATATATATACATATACCGCGGCCCAAGGCTTATTATGTTGAGGATGAATCCTTGTAGTTCTGCGATCATAATCTGTAGTTTGGGGCCGCAGGTAGTCCCGAAGTATTCACTGAATGGACAACTTCGAAAAGACGGACTCGAAAGATTTGCTGAATGGACAACTTCGAAAAGACGGACTCGAAAGATTTGAGGCAATGTCGCATTCAGGCGTCGGAATGCAATTGAAGGGGCGGGGACTGTGAGAGGGTTTCCGGGTCTCGCGTGCTTTTGCAGTGTTTTTGCAGTGGTTGATGAATCCCTGACGGGGATCCTAAATTCACTTCGTCGTGATCAGTAGCCTGACAGCTTGAACCTTTAGATTCCCAATCCATCACAACAATGGAACTTGACGCCCTTGAAGTTTTGGGGTTTGGGCTTGAGGCGTTCGGGTTTAGGGCTTGTCGGAATTTCGTAGTCTTCCAGGCTCCTGCGTCCGGCTCGCAGCCACTACCCATCCACATGATGTTTGAAGAACAAACTATAGTTTAATATTCCCAAGGCCCCTGCATTCATTAAAACCCTAAACCCTAAACCCTAAACCCTAAACCCCTAACCCCTAAACCCTAAACCCGAAAGGACTCCCCACGCTGCATCCTGAAACGAAGCCCGATGCCTCAATCTCCAGACTGAGACTCAAGTTAAAACCTTAAGCCTGCCACCTAGCCACACCTACATGCAGCTCCAAGAAGAACCTACTGATATAGTCTTTTGGGCTTTGGGGTTGAGAGTTTTTTGTTTTAATCTTTTGCGCACATACGAACTGTCCGATTTTCCTGTGTCCGAAAAGCTGGGGATGCGGATTTGGAGATCTAGAGGGGCGTCTTTGCTGGGCGACACGACCTTCCAGTACGATTTTGTGCCCTAAACCTAACTTCAAAACTAGATCAGGGGTTGAGGGTTCAGGGCTTAGGGTTTACGTGCCTGGTTGTATAGATCCCCAGCTCCAACCCAGAACCCCAACACCCCTCAAGTCCTCGGCCCTATGCCTGCAGCCAACGGAGCCTAAGTGTCACTAAATACCAGCCTTTTAAGTGCCCCTGCCTTCGAACATGGCAACGGGGACAGTGGAGTGGGTACCCGATGACCAGGCCGTGGTGTCTTATAATATATATATATATACATATATATATATATATATATGAGTCCCCCCAACAGGGACCACTTTCCCCCCAATCGCTCTTTCTTTTTGTTGGGGGGGGAGGGGGTTCTCCGTACTAAGTCTGAACAAGAGGGGAAATGCTACCCGATCATGCAGCCGACATTTGCGTTCCTACCCATACTCTGATGCCATAACTCCAGCTAGCTTCGAGCACATAGAAGGCAATGTAGAATGTTGCGCATCCTTGGGTCGCTTTTGGGGCATAGATCTCGTCAGATTATCGCTAGACAATCTACAGGACTTCTCTAGCACCCCATCTCGAACATCGCTTTGTTGCCGGCTCTTGTTCTTTACGATCCTCAGAGGAACGTCTTGTTCTTGGGGCTAGAAGTTTGTAGTTCCCAGTGTGTAGGGTGTGCGCCAGTTCTACGTTTAGGGAATTAGGGGTCGCAAGGTTTACGGCTTACTACAGGGTTGGGGCCTCTGGTGCTTCATGTAGCTGCGTAGGTAGCCTCTAGCCTTGTTTAAATGTTTGGGTTCGTGTAGCTCTACCATGACCGAGCCAACCTTTCTTGAGCGTGTTTCGGCTTTTGACAGCAGCTAGTTTCTTCGTGCTTGGGGTTCAGTAGTTTATGCTTTGGGGTCATTTAGAACTTGGGAATATTCGGTCTATGCTTCGGGAATCTTTTGCAAGGTTTCAGAGTTTAGGGTGTTGATCTCGAGGGCTGGCTTGCTGCGGTTTTGGGGTGTAAGTTGCCCTAGACCTTCGGTGCTTTAAGTTTTCCATTGTTCAGATTGTAGCGGGAGTGTATCGGGCCCCTGCAAAGCACGGATGAACTCATATTTGACGTGTCGCTTCGGATACTCTGAGTGAAAGCCAAGCCCCACTAGGGTTTAGGGTTGGTTGGGTGCGGCGCCTTTTTCTGCAGATCGTGGTTCGTGTGGAGGTCACAGAAAGGATGCTTCACCGCTAGATGTGCGGAACTCACGAAGGGGTTTGAAAAAAGCATAATATGTGCCTGCAGGTCAGCGAATGCCCACTCTGCACGCGAAGCCCGGCGGCACATCAACAATCCTAAATTATCATGCCTTCCTGTACCCGAAGACACCTTGGCCTTAAACCCTAAACCCCTTTTGGCCCTAATTCTTAAAGTTGTAGCGCTCGTCTGCGACCAGCTTAGGTGAAGCCCATCAAGCAGGGGACCCTTCTTTGGCATCAGGGCTTGGGGTGAGGGAATGGTGGGATAGAGATGGGTGGAGATGCCTCACGAGACCTTTGGGGTTTAGTGTCTACCTTAAGAACCCAAAACCCACTTTTTTGTAGGTTCTTATTATAAACCCTAATATGGGATTTCTAGGGACCCTAAAGAAAGTAGGTTTGGGGTTCTTAAGGTAGGGTTCTTTGTATAGAGCTTTTATGGATCCCGCGAAGAATTTGAACCCAGGACGCTTTAGCACGACCAAGCGGAAGCACCACTGTCGCGCATGCGGCCGCGTGGTCTGTGGCAGCTGCAGCAGCCCCTTGGTCTCCAAGGTTAGCATGAGTATGAGAAGTAGTATTCGTATTAGTACACGAGGCTGGGAATTTAGAACAATTAAGAGAAAGCAAACCTTGGTTAACTTTCCAATCTTGCAATCTGTTTCATCTTAAGATGATTGCTTGCAATATTGCTGAAGTAATTGTTCTAAGTTCTCGGCACACTGTGTTAGTAGTACTACCAGTATTCGTGTCAGTATTAGTATTAGCATTACTATGAAGTATCAGCATTTTTACCCTAAGCCCTAAACCCTAAATCTCATTACTGTTACTATGGTTATTATTTTGGAAGTTTCAGGCTTTTGAGTTCAGGACTAGCCCAAACGTTTTCGGGCCGATCTCCTTCTTTAGCCGTTTCCGGTTTCAGGGTTTAGGGGTTTGGGGTTCAGGGGTTTAGGGGTTTGGGGTTTAGGGGTTTAGGGGTTTAGGGTTTAGGGGGTTTTGGGGTTTAGGGGGTTTGGGGGTTTAGGGTTTAGGGGGTTTAGGAGTGGAGTTTAGGGGTTTAGGGGTTTTAAAGTTTAGGGGTTTAGGGTTTAGGGCGTTTAGGGTTTCCGATTTCAGGGTTTATCATGGCTGCGACTTCTTAATTAGATTTTGAGTTGTAGGGGGTCTCAGGTTTAGGGGCTCTCGACTCGGACCCTCAGATGGAGAGCCTCAAGAAGACCGTGGGTATACAGCCATGGCATAGGCATAGGCCCACATAGGAAGGTTTACTTGAAACATCCCTCTGTATACATATATACACGTATATATGTATATTATTAGATATGCAGAAGTCCATCCTCAGGAGCTCCCAAAAAAGGCAGCTGATGCAACGAACCCTGGTGAATCCTGCCTCGGCCCTAGACCGGAGGCCCTGCACTTCAAACTCGAACTCCCTGCCGCCCACGTTAACCCCCAAAGCCCTGAGCCTCAGACCTTCACTCACTCCTTTAATTCAAGGGCTTGAGTAGTTACCTATATTATTTTGATGGTTCCTCATTATGATGATAGCATGAATAGACCTCAAAGCCCTATTCTAATTAGTAAGGCCCCTACACCCCAAAATCCTTAGAGTAGCCCTGATAGAACCCTTTAAGGAACCCTTTAAAGGAGCCCCCCAAACCCTATTCCAATTAGCAAGGCCCCTACATTTCCCCCCAAAAAAAATGCCGAAGCTTCAAGCCCCCGAAGCCTCAAGTCTCAAACCCTAAACAGCCCGAATATGCAAGATCGGAAGTTCCATCGCCACTTGCTGGAAGAATGTGCTTTTCTTGTAGGGAGGGTTCAGGGTTTAGGGTTGTAGGGGGGGTGCCTGTACTAAGGAACCCTAAACCCTAAACCCCTACACCCCTAAACCCTAGACCCTAGGGGTTCGAACAGCTAAAGTGCATAGGGTCCCAATGAAGAGACGAACCTACAATCGACGATTGTCCTACACCCAAATACCGTGCACTTTGGTATGTAGGACCCTGCAGTGCCACACAAAGCCCTGAACAACCCTGATGATGCCCTTATATCCAAAACTCGTTCAAAGCCCGTGTAGAACCCTAATGAAACTGGAAAAGTACTGGAAAAAACCCTGGGTGATAGAAATGAGAGTCTGTGGGCTGTGGGGAATGCTGACAGGCAATCAGATCTATTTGCCGAGTCATCGTAAAGAGGACCTCCTGGGGGGGCGATTGGATTCTTTTACGTTGGGCTTCCCCCTCTAGGATTTGTGTTCATTAGGGTTTAGGTTGGTGTTTTGTGTGCTAGCCAAAAACTCCATATCACGCAAGCCCAAGCAGGGATTGAACACATCATCTTTCTTCTGGCTCCATGAGCCAAAGAGGCTATAGATAGTATCACAGGATGAAGTACTCCGTAGTGCCGATGTGGTTTTGAATTCTAGAGATATTCCGACGGGGTGGAAGTTCCAAACCTAAACCCTAAACCCTAAACCCTAAACCCTAAACCCTAAAACCCTAAAACCCTAAACCCGCTTGTGGCCTCGAGTTCCACACTTTGGGTCCGAGGGCTTAGTCAATGCATTGGGTTCTACCTATAGTCTCCATTGTAGTTCCTTTTTTGGTTTAACCAAGAAAAAAAATATATATATATATACACCTATATATATATATATATTCTGGATTTTTATAAGGTATCCCCCAAAAGGAACTACAATGGAGACTATTGGTAGGGCTTGTGGCTGCGAGGGTTCAGATGCCCAAGCAGCCCAATACCCCTCAAGTGTCCAAGCTGCGGGATTTGGTTCGAACTCGAACGTCGCTGTAGCTCCCAAAACAACAAACCACTTCATGAAGACGGATCATGAGAGCGATGCTAAAGGCCGTCATAATCAGAAACAGTTGTTAATGAGGTACATACGTCGAGGCGGCCAAAAAGATGGATATTGCATCGGTGTCGTAGAAGCATATGGGTGGTTGTCAAAATTAGGGTCCCTTTTTGGGTACCCTAAATATTAGGTGCCGTATTATAATAAGGACCCAAAAAGGGACCATAATTTTGACAACCACCCATATGCATACAGCAGGAGCGGGTGTGCGATCGATGCTTCGATCTACTGCAGCACGACAAGGGAGTGCCGATGAATGAATCGTTTCTTGAGAACAAGCAGCTGGAGGCCCACCTGCGGTTGGGGTTTAGGGTTTAGGGTTTAGGGTCTAGGGTCTAGGGTTTAGGGTTTAGGGTTTAGGGTTTAGGGTTTTGCAGACGGCTTCTAAGCAACCCGAAGCCCGAACAATCTAGTTTTGTCATTTTGTTTGGCAGGTGTTCTACATGGGGGCCGCAATGAATAGTAGATAATACCCTTCTCGAACCCTCATTTCACTATCATTCCCGCGATCATGGCCTCCGTGTGGGACAACCATTGGCGGGACAAGTACTCTGTAGGTCTCAGGCATCGATGCTGGAAAGTGGTGCCCACTGCATATCTGCGATGGCTTGAAGGGCTTTGGGGTGTAGGGTGTTGGGTGCTCTGAGGGGTGTAATATCTAGGGCAAGGCCAGATGCACCATCCCGATCTTCACAAAGCTCTGGACCCCCGTTTATTCTCTGAGAAGCATCCCTGTCAACCCGAGTCTTGCATGACCTTAGCAGTAATCCCTTTCATTTTCAGGACAGTTTCAGCGTTTCGAAATGTCAAAGGCCTCAAGGAACTCCCTTCAGAAATTTTCTTACAGAGCGCCACCACTGACGATACCAGCAGCTGTGAACACGAAGAACTCTCGCTGTACCCGTCGCCGAAACCGATCCCCATCATAATGTCAAGCATTCAGGGTTCGGGTTCAATAGTCCGAGTAGCGACCCTGAGGTGGCAAGAGCAACGGAACCCTAGGTCCTAAACACTATAATCACCAGACCCGGACAAGCTCCTTGAACTGTGCATGCAGACCTCGCTGAAGAGTGACCTCCGCGAGAAGCAACTACAAGAAGAGTGGTTCCGAGGCTTTCTCCTCAAGGCTGGGTGTTATTTGTGTCGTCTTATACAATGTTGGCTTTTGGTTTGGGCCTAAACCCTAAAACCCTAAACCCTAAACCCTAAAACCCTAAACCCTAAACCCTAAAACCCTAAACCCTAAACCCAGAGCCCTAAGCCCCAAAACCCTAAACCCTAAGCCCTAAAACCCTAAACCCTAAACCCTGAGAGTTCAGAGAAGATAGCTCGATCTGGGCTCTAAGGACGTACGGCAGGTGACTGCCGGGGTTCAGAACAGAAAGGTTTGGGGCGTAGTGGTGTAAGCTTTTGGCATTTTAGGGCTTATATAGGGCTTAGGGTTTAGGGTTGTTTAAGGTTCAAGTTTTTTGAAGGGGTTCCGTGGTTCAGATTCGGTGTGTAGGATTTCGCGAGGCAAGTATCGTATTGTAGCCTTCATTGTAAATGCTGAGGGTGTAGAGTGTAGAAGCTGCTTCCGTCTGAATTTTTTAGCCTTCACCTGTGTGGGCTTCAGGGTTGTAATTGTAAGCCTTTAGGCTGGAGTAAGTTCAGAGGTCGTTGGTTTTCTGTGGCATTCAAGGAATTTTGGGTTGTAATTAGTTGTCACGGTGTCATCTTTAGATTGCTTTGAGGTTCATCCTTCGGGACTTGAAACTTCGGGGGTTGGGTACATGACCCGCGCAGTGGAGGCGAAGACCCCAGATTCAGTCTCACCTAAACCCGAAGCCCCCTAAACCCTAGACCCTAGACCCTAAACCCTAAACCTAAAACTCTTCGGCCACGAAAGACCTGAAGCTGGAGCCGGACGAGAAGCCCGTCGTGATTTTTTTGAGATGGGCCCGAAGGTAAAAGCCTGAACAATTCCCAACCTTGTTCCTTAGGGTTCCTTATATGACTATACGTACTATGTTTGCTATGATATAGGTCAAAACCCTATTTCGAATTTTTCAGGCCCCCATAGCACATGTGCTCTGCCGGTGGGGTCGGACATCGTTTGCCTCCACACGGGGCAGTGTCCGCTGGTCCAAGGATGCGGAACTCTTGCCGCCAAGCACCAGGTTCTGGGGTTTAGGGTTTAGGGTTTATGTTTCTGAATGCTGGTGAGGTAGATCGGATGCCTAAGCCCCAAGATGCCTAAGCCCAAAGAACCGAATTAAACTCCTCACTTATCAACCCTATGATAGAAGCTTCATAGACTGCCCATAAGTACCCCTTCCGAAACCCTTCCGAAACCCTGGCCAGGAACACAACAAGAAAGCCGTGCAGCTACTAAAAAGCCATTCAAACCCTAAACCGTTGAAGAAAGGTGCGGGGCGATGCCGGGGATGCCAGCGGCTCTGAGCAGGGACCATCTTCTGAGGCAGAGCAGAGGCTCGGAGATGTTGGCGCCACTTGGAGGATCATGGGACTTAGTAAGTAAGGCTATAAGTCCCCTAATTGGGGTTACAAGTATAGTTACCTTAGTTATGACCCTACTTACTAAGTCCCATGACCCTTTAAGTATGGAGGGCTTTGGAGTTGGGGCTTCGGAGTTTACAGGCTGACGGGCTTTGGGTTTAGGGTTGAGGGCTTTTGGGTTTGAGGTAGGGCTAGAAGGGCTCAGGGCTGGTGGCTTTAACTTCAGGGTTTGGGTTTAGGGTTTAGGGTTTAGGGTTTAGGGTTTAGGGTTTAGGGTTTAGGGTTTAGGGAGATTTGTGGCGGCTGAAGGCTTGCTGAGCTTAGTACGGGTCTGTGTGCGTGTGTGCTGTTTGTTAAGGGGGTCCTGGTTATGCAAGTGCTACAGCAGCCTGAACCAGTACCTTTTTGGTTAAGGTTCCTAGGCTAGTTATGTAATACAGTACTAGTATATATGCTTTAGCTCAAAGCCCAGCCCAACGCTAGGCTGTGCAAGAGTGTTTGGTGGTCTGCATGTCCCCAGCATGCCACTGCCAGAGATCTGAACAGCAAAAGCCTAGGCCTCGAAGCCAAAGCCCCGTTGCTTTCGACCCGAACCCCGAACCAGACCCCGAAGCCCAAAGCCCGCAAAAACCCTAAACCGCAGAAGCCCCTTTAACCCCAAACCCTAAACCCCCGAAGCTCCTTTAAATAATAAACCCTAAACCACCGAAATCCCTTCAAACCCTAAACCACCGAAACCCCATTCAAACCCTAAACCCTAAACCCCTGAAACCCCTTAAAGCCTAAACCCGGAAGCCAAAGGCAAGAATGTTGTACAGGGGGTTTAGGGTTTAGGGTTTAGGTCCCTAAACCCTAAACCCTAAACCCTACACCCTAAACTCTAAACCCTAAACCCTAAACCCTAAACCCCATACCCTAAAGTTCTACACCATGCCAGGGCGCTCCTCGCCGGCGCCCGAAATCGCTGGACGCAGGCTCCCAGAGGGACCAAAACGCCCCAAAGGGCCCAAAGGACCTCATGCTGAGGTACTTGGGTTTAGGGTTTAGGGTTTAGGGTCTAGGGTTTAGGATTTAGGGTTTAGGGTCTAGGGTTTAGGGTTTAGGGCGCAAAGGACCTCATACTGAGGTACTTGGGTTTCGGAGAGTGGTCTTGCAGGTTACTAGTTGGGAGAGTGCGTGCAAAGGATCTCATAGTGAGGGACTTGGGTTTAGGAGAGTGGTCTTGTAGATTACTAAGTTGGGAGAGTCGATGATTTTTGGGTAATGACTTGGACCCTCAAGGTAACGTACCGTCTTGGAAGCTAAACCCTAAGCTGTAAACCCGGATCCCAAGCTTCGACTCGACCTCCAACTCGAAACCGTTTAACAACAGAACCTCCCGGATGCCAAGGCGTGTGCGAGAGCCGGCAAGCAGAAGGCTGAGACGGAGGCGCCGTTCAGGGAAATCATCGTTGGCTGAGAGCTCAAGGCCCAAACCCTAAACCCTAAACCCTTAACCCTTAACCCTAAACCCTTAACCCTAAACCCTTAACCCTAAACCCTAAAGCCAAGGCCTCCAGGGCTCAGGGATTAAAGATTACAGGTTTTGGGCTTGCAGCTTCTGGTTTATTTAGGGTTTAGGGTTTAGGGTCAAAGATGATCCAAGGCTTAAGCGATTAGGGATTAGATTGACGTTTGAGTTTTGCGGTCTAGGGAGGGAAAGCATCGGGATGGTTCCCAGTAGGTTCTTTTCAATGACTGAAAAAGGTTTGCCGCTTAGTTCGCACAAGGCTTCCATAGTTTGGGTTTAGGGTTGTGGGTGCAAGGTTTTGGGATAAGTAGACTTCACAAAACGAGAACCTCGTTGATAAGGGTCTGAAGCTTTAGGGATTGCCGGCTTAGGGATATATTTCACCCGGAAAATCTAGGGATGCTCTCAGAGAACCTTGGTTCGGGTCCTACAGTTTCAGGGCTGTGGGTCTGGTGTTGAGGAGTTAGGGTTGCATGGGGTAGGACCAGCGACCCCAAAGCCTTTAAGTCAGGAATAGGCGCCTACCAAGAACAACCAAAAGTTATATACAGGTTCTAGATTCATTGGTTTCTACCTGAGAGGGTTTTGGGGCTTCCTAGGTGAAATTCTATGGGCCATCCGTAAGTCTGCTCAGTATAGGTTTTAGGTGTTTGCATATTTGGGTTCTGCTCCTTTTCAACCCCTCACACCCTACAGTAAGGCCCAGAACCCTCCTAAGACGCTGCTCAATACTGATAGAAGCCCTTACTGGACCGCTTCATAGACCCTTTAATCAAGACTTTAGACGGAGCCAGCACCGGACGGCAGAGGCAAGGGAAAGGGGTCTTTGGCAGCAGCCTCGCGGCGATTCCAGCATGCGAAGCGACACCATAGCCTTTGCTTAGTGGGTGTTGAGGAAGGGGTACCAATTGCAAATGCAGACCCTGGACGCAGGCTACTTCTGGTCCTTCAGACCGGATGTTCAAGGTGGCTGCAGCATGGAAGCTCCTAAGGCCGAGCCTTTGAAGCTTGCCGGGCCTCTGCGTGTCAATATCTCGAGGAGCTCGCGGCTCACGCCGAGGGTGAAGCTAAAGGCACAGCAGCCGGATGCAGCCAAAGACACGACGGTCCCTAAACCCTAGTCCCTAAACCCTAAACCCTAAACCCCACTTGGAGGTTCATGGGTACTTATAAGTGGAGTTATAAGTCCCCTAATATAGGTTATAGTTATAGTTACCCTACTTATAACCCTACTTATAACTACCCATGAACCTCCAAGCACTGTGGAGCGCCACTGGACGGATCGCCTCTAGACCGCTACTGTAGAAGGCCGGTTCGGCGGCAATAGAAGCCAAGGCTTACCTTAAGAACCCAAAACCCACTTTTTTGTAGGTTCTTACTATAAACCCTAATATGGGATTTATAGGGACCCTAAAAAAAAGGTAGGTTTTGGGGTTCTTAAGGTACACACTAAACACCCGGATACCATCGAAGTCCCAGGCGCTGCAGACTCGCGTGGAGGCGCTAGATCGCGAGTGTGCCGAGAAGCAGGCCATGGACGGTGTATGGGTAGTTTTCTAAACTAGGGTCCCTTTTGGGATCCTTCTTATAAGAGTGCCGTATTATATTGGGGACCTAGAAAGGAACCCTAATTTAGACAACTACCCATATGGATGGCTTGTGTAGGTTTCCTTTAAAACGGTTATTTTCAGGTTTAATTTCTCTTCTAAGGCGCTTTTGTTGATTTTAGGGTTTGTTGGGATTGGGGATTTAGGCTATTGTGACCTATCCTTTCAAGGGTAACAATAGGCCAAGTCGAGACACACAGGAAGTGATGGCACTCCGGTAGCCTACGGGGTTGAGGGGGATTAGGGCTTACTGGGGTTTAGGAACTTATTTTGGGTTTGATTAGTTGGGTTTAATGTTGAAGGGATGAGGTCTTCAAGCCTCATGTCGCCCTCGCTTAAAGGTAGCTCCTCGATATCACAGTGTGTAGTTAAATCACCAACTCATCATCCGTACTCCATAAAAGGCTTCAAGACTCTTCCGGCAGAACAACGCAATGATTTCCAACCGAAAACCCTAAACCCTAAACCCTAAACCCTGAACCCTGAACCCTAAACCCTAAATGCCTAAACCCTAAACCGTAAACCCTGAACCCTAAACCCTAAACCCTAAACCCTACTAGGACCCTAAAAGGGACCCTAATTTAGAGAACTGCCCTTCTGTTGTGGGTGCTCTCAGGAGGCCATCGCGAAGCTCACCCGCAGCATCAAGACTATGGAGTCGCCTCTCGGCTCAAGTCGAACCCGAAGGGTCCAACGGACCTAAACCCTAAACCCTAAACCCTAAATAGTTGTAGTGTAGCTTAGTTTTCACAAGAATATATGATTATTAGGGACTTGGACCCTTAGGGGAAGGTTCTCTGGTTTAGGGGTCGGTGGCTTCAGGATTTAGGGGTCAGGGCTTCAGGGGTTTCGGGTTTAGGGGTCGGTGGGTTTAGGATTTAGGGTTGAAGGGTCTTGGCGTGGGGGGCTTTAAGGTTCAGGGCTTAAGGGTCGGGGATTTAGGATTCAGGGTCCATAGGGCCATAGGGTTTAGGGTACATAGGCGTATAGTTTTGTCTAGGTGACAATCTGGGACACGTTCAAATCTCGCTTGTACTTATAACAGTTTGTAGCTCTACCATTGCTTGTTTATTAAGAGAGGTTGCTGACATTGCAACGCAAATGCGGCTAAGAGACCACAGCATTTCTCGGTTTAAATTGTTGGAGCCAGCCAAGCTTGGGTTGGGCCGTGTGTTTGGGCCCTCAGTTTATTCTTAATCATACCCGATAGGGACATCTTTGATCCACCTCCTGTAGCAGAACCGCAACCCCCAAAGCCCCAATAACGTATCGAGCGTGGACCCTGGATAATGGGGTCTAAAACACTGCATACAAAAGCTCCGAGCCTTACCCTCGATCCCACAACAAAGCCGGGCCAGAAGTGCCTTCAGTGGGTCTATCCATAGTCAGAACCGCCACCGTACTCACCCTACGCCCTAAACCCTAAACCCTATAAACCTATAAACCTATAAACCTATAAACCCTAAACCCTAAACCCTAAACCCTAAAGATGAAAACCCTAAACCCTAAACCCTAAGCCCGAAACCCTAAACCCGAAACCCAAGCCTCAACAGCAACTCCAAGGAATCTGAAGGTTCGCCCGAAGCTGCAGAGCGAATGCGAGCAGCCTCTCACCTCAACTTCGCTGGGACTCCCTTAAGGTAGTTCTCTAAAGTAGGGTCCCTTTTAGAGTACAGTTTATAAGGGTGCCGTACTCTTTTGGGGATGTAAAAGAGGACCCTAATTTAGAGACTTACTGATGAGCTCCAAAGTCACGGGGTTTAGGGTTTTGGAGGTTTTGTGGCTTGGGTTCAAGGGTAAACCCTAAACCCTCAACCCTAAACCCTAAATCCTGAACCCTAAACCTTAGAGCTTTACCTGGACTTGAGAACTTTAGGCATTTGGGGGTCAGGGTGTAGAGCGCTGAGCCTCGAAACCCGGAGGGACCTGGGCGCTTTTGAGGGCGTTTGAGTTCCGGAGTTTTATGGAGTCCCCTAAGCCCTAAACCCCAAACCCTAAATCCCTATAAGCCCCAAACCTAAAACCCTAAAACCTAAACCCTAAGTCGGCCTTTACGGGTTGAAGCCTCCGAGGATGCTTGAGGCGAAGGTGATGGCAGGGCAAAATTTCAGGGCTAAAGGGCTTTAGGGTTTAGGGGTTCCAAGTGGCTAAGGCGTTGTGCTTTGATGCATGTGATCCGCACTTCAGCTCTTGATGCTTCAGAACTTCGTAAATCAAAGATGAAAAACTCTCAGCCCTAAGACTCTTCGACCTCGCTAGCTCGGGAGCCTATCGTGCATCCTGCGCAGACTCAGCAAAACCCCCTTTGTGTGAAGGCGGCCACTTCTGAAGCATTCTGGTCCGTTTGACTGCATCAGACGTGTCTCTGAAGCTTTAGGCTATCTGTTGTCGGGCCTACGTGCTATGTAATACGCTGCCGTCGTTTCCTTTCTTCTAGCAAGGCCTCACGATGTGATGCCTCTTGACTCTTCTTGTGCTCCATAAGCACCAAACAAATCCCCTCCCCCATACTGAGGCTTACCCGCACCAACAACAGCCTCCAGCAAGAGCTGGACGGTCTCCGACAGCGCACCCAAGCTCTAGAGGCTTCCACAGTTGAGTTGGGGTGTTCGTGTGGCTGTAGGTTCTATCTTGCCTGGGGTGTCATCTCTTGTTTATGCCGCTGTTTCATGAGCGTAGTCTGGGAGCCTTTTGCAGTTTGTGGTTTCAGGATTTGGTTTTCTTTGGTGAGGGTTTTGTCGAAGCACGGGCTGCCTCCTGGCATCCTGGGCGTTGGGTCAAGCCACATCGCTTAAAGCCTACAAAAAGCCCAAGGCATTTAGGCCCTAAAGCCTAAAAAACCCCAAGGCCCTAGGCCCTAAACCCTGTTGGGTCCGTCCGGGTTTCGGCTTTAGAGCTCAGGGCGCGGGCTCCGAGAACGGACCTGACGCACGCCTTAATTCACGTCAGAGAGAAGTCCCTACATCGTTAGATTCGTCTCGCCGGGATTGAGCATGTAAAAGCTTGTAGATGCAACTGTATGTATGTGCATACGTGCATGCATATCTACACACACGCATACAACACATGATAACCGCTAGTGCAGACATACATCTACACATGTTCGGTCATATACATGTAAAACGTATATGTATCCGTACATATTGAGATGATGCAGTTGCCGTCGTTACCTGGATAGTTGGGCTAGATTTGCTCGAGCTGGCTGCTCTGCTTCGCTTCTTCGGGTCACTCGGAGCCAAACACCTCTAGCGTCCCTTCAAGGAGACTGCAAATATAGGGACCTCACTGGGTAGTAAGGACTGTAGCCGGCAACAGTCCATAGCCTCCAAAAACACTGGCATTTAGATCGTAGGGCTTCGGTTTAAACCCTACTTCAACGGCCGCTTGAGCACACAAGTCCCGCAGCAGCGACTTCCGAGTGAGTTCTGCTCCCTAAACCCTAAACCCAGGATGTCTACGGTTTAGGGTTTAGGGTTTCCACGGTCTGGGGTCACATCTGGAAAAGGGCGGTACGGCCCAGCTCTCCAGGCTTATCTGCCCAGCAACAGCACCAGCTCCTTCCAGTCTTTCCTTTCGGTCGGGAGCCTTGTCTGGAAAGTCCTGGGCACATAACATAGGGGCCTTATACTTACCTATGCTATTTGCAGGGCACGGGATTTAAGACGTACCTTGGAATGATAAATGAAAAATACAGAGGTTTCGGGCGGTTAAGGGCGATTGTTATCTGTAATGGTCGGTTGACCTCCACTCCACTTTCTGACAATGCACGCGCTCGTGTTCAATGTCGTCTCACATCAACCCGCCCAGGCGATCGCTCAATCCCTAATCTAATCAATGATATACCTCCCATATACTTGTGAGCCACGGTTTAGGGTTTAGGGTTTAGGCTTTTTGTCGTCTGCGGCACAGTTCGGGGTATGACTCGCAGGGGTCAAAATTGCTCAGCCACTGACGTGGTGTAGTCTTTGGACAGATGGGGCCGAAAGTAGGAGTGCTTCGAGTCTCAAACCCTAAACCCTAAACCCTAAACCCTAAACCCTAAACCCTAAACCCTAAACCCTATAGAGGTCGGAATAATTACTCGTCGTAGAATATACCACAAAGCCTCCTTCCAGTTAGTACGGCCCCTACAACAGAAACCCTAAGAAAAGGATCCTGTCGAAGCAACCCTCTTCTATTTATTAAGCGCCCGAAAACCCTAAACCCCTAGACCCTATTCTAATGATCAAGGCCCTAAACCCTGACCCCTAAACCCCTAAACCCTAAACTCTACCCTAAACCCTAAACCCTAAACCATAAGTCCTAAACCCTAAACCCTACCCCTATATTCGGTTTCCAGGACAGGGCGTAAGACCTACAAAGCTTCACCGACGCGGGAGTCAGGCGTCCTTTACATCTGAATTGAGGTTTTATCGGGTTTCTAGGATTTCAACCCTTCAACCTTCAACCCCCACCCCCCTACGCCCTCCCCCTCCCCCGCCGGGGGCTTCTCAAACCCTCTTCATTAGGTTTTTTGTTTGGGGTATGGGAGTTAGGACTTTTGGCTTTGTGCTTTCGGATTTGGAGTTTGAGGGTTTAGTGTTGAGGGCGTAGGTGCAGCTACGGTAATCTCAGAACTGAATACAATTACTCAGGTCTTAGGTCCTCATATGTGCAAGTAGAGCTGGGGCCTCCTAGACAAAACGAGAGAATACGGCTTTCGTCGACAGCCGGCCCACACTGCATTGCATACATGCAGTGTGGGGTATACTGTTTTCGTTGTCGATTCAACCACAAGTGTACAAAGAAGAACAAGTCACCGTGGCGGTAGAAGGTCATAGATGGCTATCTATGCTTTGTGACAGGCAGCCATAACACACGCGGTTGATGTGTTAATGCCAAGCACATGGGATGGGACAGCTCAGGACATCCTTCCAGCTCACGCGGATGGAGGAGTGCAGGTATCACTGCCGCCGCCGCTGCTCCGTGATGTGAGCTGCTTGTGGTTTGAGGTTCCGACGTCCGAGACAAGAAACCTCAGCATATTCACAAATCCCAAGCTATGTCTCGGCAAATTCCTCAATGATGATATAGGTGCCTTAATAATTGGAGTAGGGGTTCGGGTATATTATACTATAATCATATTCAGGAACCTCCAAAACCCTATTCTAATTATTAAGGCCCCTACAGTATGCCCCACCTTGGTCGCCTTTTGACTCGGCCGCCGTTTAGATCCCAGCGGCCCGACCATTCTATAGGTGTGCAGCTTGCCCCCTCCTGAGATAGTTAGCTCCGCCCTTTTAGGGAAGGGTTTAGAGTATAGGGTTTAGGGTCATACCTGCTAACTTACCGCTCTAAAAAGCAATAGTAGCAATAACGTTTAACAGGTAGGTTGTATTTCCTAAGTTTCAGGACCGGCTTGCTTTGTCCCTTCTGACCCTTGTGACGGAAGAGCTAAAACACCCACAGACCCTCAACCTCTTCATCTGCGCAGCAGAGTTTAGGGTTTTGGGTTTAGGGTTTAGGGTTTAGGGTAAGCTCAAACTCAAGTTTCAGCTGTCTTGAGTTGCAACACGGTTCTTGCAACTAGGAACCGTCCAATCCTAGAAGCCCTAAACCCTAAACCCCGATGAGCACTGCACCTAAAACCGAAGCCCTCGACCTCGTAGATGCTTAGCCCGGCAGCCTTAAGCTACGCCTTTGTTTCACCTCTGCGGTAGATTCCTTCGAACAGATTGCCGTGAACAGAAAATTGCCCCGCGTTGCGCTATCGCCTCTCTTTCTCGGTTCAGGGGTGTACTAGAAGGTTCATGGGTAGTTACAAGTGGGGGATATACGTAGGAGAACTACAGCTACAACCCACATCAGGACACTTCTAACCCCACGTGGAACTACCCATGAACCTCCAAGAAGTCCGGGGTTCAGGGGCTCGGGTGTAGGTGTTCAGGGTTTGCGAACTTGAGTGAGCGTAGAGCTTTGGAGCCTTTCGGTCGAGGGTTTGGCATTTGTTGGGTTTAGGGCTTAGGGATTCCGGGCTTGCTAATTGTTACATGTCAGAGAGTTTGGGGATGCAGTTCGCTCTGAACTCGTCTTTCAGCAGGAATCGCGCTGGAAGCTTGTAGCTTTGCCGGGTGCAACATGTCGCCCGGTTTGGGGAAGCCTTGAAGCTTCAATTCAAGAGTCCCCGCCCGATTTGCCCCCTAAACCACAAAACCCGAAACCCTGAACCCTTGCCCGATTTGCCCCCTAAACCACAAAACCCGAAACCCTGAACCCTTAAGTCTAAGCTCTAAAAGCCCTAAACTCTAAACCCTAAACCCTAAACCCCCAAAAAACCCAAAGACCGTGAACCCTTAACCTTAAACCCTATAAACCCTATAAGTCCGAATCCGACCTCTGAGGCCTTGCATCAACTTTGGCGAGCGGCTCTTGCAAGGGATGGCCAGCGAGTCCGTCCAGTTGGTCAACAAGGCCTAAACGGTTTAGGGTGTAGGTTATAGAGGCCTAAGTAATTGCTAACATTAGTGTTAGGGCTCCTCAATATCAATATACTATAAAGGAGCCCAAAACCCTATTCTAATTATTATGGCCCCTACATTGCTTTCAGCTGCCGGAGCTCGTATCGTTTCATCGGGCTCCTGTATGCATAGTGCTGAATCCATCCATCCATCCATCCATCCATCCATCCATCCACCCATCCATCCATCCATCCATCCATCCATCCATCCATCCATCCATCCATCCATCAATGCATCCATGCATACATGCATACATGCATGCCATGAAGCATACATGCAAACACACATGGACACATACATGAATTTTTCACTGACATACGCCCAGACATACATACATGGAGTCTGTCAACTGCATGGGCTAAATAAAGAGCCATCCACAACAATGATCCTCACAACCTGCACTTTAGATGCTAACTTGTCTCTATTCTGGCTGGCTGCTAGGACGCTGGCGCTTGCCAATTGGGTGTCTATGCCACCTTTGCTCCGCTTCGGCATGTAATGGTAAGGTTCCGGCATGTACTACGGATTACGGTATACTGCCCGTTTGGTAAAAATCGGCGTGTTGGCGCCACTTGTTCACAGACGGGTCTTCGGGAAGTTGAAGCACTATGGGAAGTTAGAATTTGGGAAAATTCCTATCCCCCGAGCATGAAGCGCCCTCGTGCAGGAGCACATCCCTTTCAGCTTCGCGCTGGATCCGGCAAGCTTCCAAGAAGAAGGAGAGCTTCAGGCCACCAGAGTTATTTAGGGTTTAGGGTTTAGGGTTTAGGGAGGTTCCGAGCAGTAGTAGCAGTAGGAGCAGTAGTAGTCGTTGTCGTCGCAGTAGCAGGACAGCAGTAGCAGTGGCGGAACAGGAGGAGTAGTAGGAGTAGTTGAAAAATGTAATAGTAGGAGCAGAGGACCAGTGGCCTTAGCAGTAGCAGTATTAGGGTTTAGGGTTTAGGGTTTAGGGTTTAGGGTTTAGGGTTTAGGGCCCGTGAGAAGAATTTTCGAGTGTCGTGATTCTATTTCTACGACTCTACGACTATTGCGACAACACCTCTGGATAGCAGTTGCATGCCTGGGCCCGCGCGCTCCTTTATCTTCGGTGGTTTCAGCAGATGACGTTGAGCTAGAAGGATGTAACATGTTTGGGCTGGTAGCTCACAGGACGTGAAGAGTTTGGGATTCGGTGTTTGGAGGTCACCTATAGTCTTCATTGTAGTTCCTTTTTTTCTTGTTGAACCAATTATATATTAAGGATTTTATAAGGTATCCCCAAAAAGGAGCTACAATGGAGACTACAGGTACCTCTCATCCCGTCCAGGCTCTTTCAATCTCTCCAATGAGCGGCGTGATTGGGCCGGACTCGTCCGTCACCCTCTCGGTGAACTTCAAGCCGCTGGAGGACCCGGAAACCGACACCCTAATTTTTGATAATAGAAGCCGAAGTACTTACAAAACCTGTTCCTTGGATTTCTGCGCTATAACTGTATTATAGCATACCCCAAAGCCCTATTCCCATTGTTAACGCCTACATGACACCAAGACCATCCCGCAACCCAAAGCTGGTCTCAAAAAACTGCTACCCCGCCGAGACTCCCCAGCAACTCCCTGGCAGAACTTGATTTAGGGTTTAGGGTTTAGGGTTTAGGGTTTAGGGTTTAGGGTTTAGGGCAGAACTTGAATACCTTGGTCTTCACTTGAGCGCCACAAGGGCTCTACTGCGGGTAGCTTGGGGCAGTCGTGGAAATATAGTGGTCTGACAGACTGAAAATTATGTCCACTTACTGTCCTGGTCTTGACAAATATGCTGGAGTACTCCCCAAAGCTCAATTCTAGTGATTCAGGCTCCTTGTACAACAACCTAAACTAGGACCCCTTGCCATAAAAACCTTCTTCCAGCCCTTACAGAGCTACCGAAAGCCTTGAAGCAACACTTTTCCAAAAGCCTCCAGGGCCCAACACTTAAACCCAAACATTAAATACACCTTAAACCCTAAACACTTAACACTACACCCATCGCCATAAACCCTACACACGGCGTACTGAGTCCACGAGTTAGTTCCGAAGTAGAGTAATGACAGCCCACCCAACATGCTGCAGTGCACAGACAAGGGCCCGTTAAGAAAGAGCTGAAGCCTGACCTGAGCCAACCCCGAATGAAGACTTAAACAAGCCCTAAACCCTAAACCCGTAAACCCTAAACCCTAAACCCTAAGCGCTAAACCCTAAACTCCTAAACCCTAAACTCCTAAACCCTAAACCCTTATAAACCCTATAAGCTCCAATCCGCTTCCGAAAAGCTCCTTCGTTTGAGCAGGAGCGGCCCTTCAACTTCAACGCCCGGCACCCAACGGGGAGTGAGGGTGGGGGCGATTCGGGTTTAGGGTTTAGGGTTGGGGGGTTTTAGGTTTCAACAGGTTTGGGGGCTTTGGGTTGTGGGGTTGAAGGTTTTAGGCTTCCGGCTGTACGATTTTTGGGTTTGTGACTTTTTAGGTAGAGTTTGGTGGCTTTGGGTTTAGGGTTTAGGCTTTGTGGCGTACCGACCCGGGACGTAGGGACAAAAGTGTGTTTCAAGTTTAGGCTTTGGAATTTGAGGGTTACGGCTTGGGATTTAGTTTGTTGAGGGATCGGGGTTTAGTACTGTCAAGTAGTTGCCACGGTGAGAAGTCTACAGGGGGGGCTTCAATACTTAGTAGCATTGCTCCTTCGGGTTCCGTCTTGTACTGGATGCATATCAGTGTGTATGTGTATGCCGTAATGTATCCCAATGCCCTGCTTTCAAATAGCAAGTCCCCTACATAAGAACCCAAAACGCAAGCCTCACTATCAAGTTCTGCTGTTGTCTTTATTATTATTAAGACTTTTGTTATGATTATCGTTGTTATTATTATTGCTATTATTTTTGCAACTACGACAATTGTTATCACTACTATGGAACCCCGATTGGGCCTTCTTGGACTTTGTGCCAAATATGAAGGCCCCGTTTACATGTGATGCTGCCCAGTTCAGGCCATCCTTCTGCAAATTATGCGACAGCCTGAACCGCGAAGTCCTAAAGCCACAATTCTGAACCCCCAAACCCCCGACTCCTCAGCCCGCAACCTCCAACACCGAAGCCTAATCCTTGCGAGGAGCCTTCTTCCATCCCCACGCACTGCCAGCCTCGCCCAGGTAGCTTGCAACATCAAGCGCAAGAAGGACTCGGCCTAGACTTCACGGTTTGATGGATAGGGTTTCAGGTTATGCGGCAGCTGCGGCAGTAGACTGGAGTCCTTGAAATACCACTGATCTACCTCAGCCATCGACCCCCAAATACGGTCTTAGTAAGTGTAGGTTCTGTCGCAATCTCTCACGAACAGGATGTGTATAACCCACGCTACAACCTATTTGAAGAGCGATTGCTACACAGCGTCATGAATCCTGATTTATGGGATACTATACCCCAAAACTCTCTTCTAGTTGTGAAGGCCACGATATAACCTAAACCCCAAACCCTAAACCGTAACTCTTTGACCATGGGCAGAAACCTTAAACCCTAAACCCTAAACCCTAAACCCTAAACCCTGTAGGTCCGAACCCCCAAAGCTAGACTCTCAAACATCTGAAATTCAAGAAATGCTTCCTTTCTCAAGTGGTTCTTGCATTACATCGTGGTTTTGCTGAGCTGGTTGGTAATGTAGGCTATCGGCGATAAAACCCGAAACCCCTGAATACCTAAACCTCAAAATCTGTCGGATCTTCCCGACGATGGGAGCTTGGGCACACCTGCCAGGCCACCCCATCCTCCGAGTATAAACCCTCTCAATTCCAGCTGTTCACAGGCTCTTGACAAGAAAACCCAAGTCCGCTTCTGACAGTTTTGCTTAGCCAGCAAGGATAAGGTTTAGGGGTTTAGGGTTTAGGGTTCTAAGTGTAGTCTATACCAAACAGCCCTAAACCCTGCTGCCCAGTCCCTAAACCCTACAGTGCCGTGAGTCATCTGAAAAATAACAAACCGTAAAGCCAACCCTAAACCCTCAACCCTAA